AATTCAATTATTTTCAAAAAATATATTATTATATTAATTAAAATAGTATTAAGTAAAGTTGTTTATATAGTATTTAATCATATATTTATTAATTTTTATCAATTTTTATCAATTCTTTATTAAGTTTTAAATAAAAATATAATTGTAATTTTTTTCTTAACACACTGTATATATAAACCTGTGGGTTTATAGCATAGTGGTTAGTGCTCCACAGGTTAGATCACAAACAAGTCTAATATGATATCTGATGCCATAACCTAACATGTGCTGTTTTTCATAAGAAGCCGATTCACATGCTGATCTAGTAGTTATTGAGATTATGATTTCTCAAATAAGAAGAAGTGGTATGATAATTGTCTGGTTGGCATTACAATGATTGATTTCAAGTTCAGTGCATTTCCAGTTTCCAAAAGAAGTACTCTTCCTTCTCCTACAGTCCACAAGACTATAAAAGAAAACATGTTTTTTCAAAACCTAACTAGAGCCACAAGATTTCTCCTTGTTGGATATGGTTAGTCCAAGGCTGACTGTATTAGGATACAATTCTTTGAGTTTCTATTTATCAGATGGTAAGTGGAACTAGAAGGCACACATCCTGACACATTAGTACTTTATCTATACAATCAGGATTCTGGTACTGATAATATAGAAAGAATGGAGGGTAATAAGTCGACTGGTAGATTAGGATAATCCGAATCTTAGGTAGTTTTACTTGAAAATTTAGTAGTAGTAATTTGTGTAATATGAATTTGTATATACTGCACTAAGAAAACCTCATAAAACAAGATGTATGCCAGTCATTTAAAAAAAAAATAATAATAATAAAAAATAAAAATATATATATATACAACTTTTTTTTTTAAAAAAAAAAATAATAGTTGAAATCTATATTAATATAATTAAAAACATTAAAGTAAAGTGACGGTTCAACAAAAAAAAATATTTCAATAATCATTTGAAAAAAATATACAGTATTATTTTCAATAACTATTGTATGCACTATACATTTACTATTACAATAAATAACCTTGTTAATTTACTAACCATCTGACTGTATTTTACTTTAAAACGTCACATGGTTATAATTAGATCAACCAAGTGCGATCAAAACTGTTATCAAAGCTTTTTAATGCAAGTTATGTAATTTATAGTTTAATTAATCCTTCACAAAAAAAGTTAAATGAATAAAACTATTGCTTTTCTTTTATATCTAACAATTATAATTGGAGGTTTTTTAATACTCGAACTCATCCAAGCAAGTACTTATAATATCGGTTTATTTAAAGGCTTTCTTGGTTCAATGAGTAATAAAGTTGAAGAAATCGATAGTGGTGGAATCAGCGAGTCAGAAAATAATGGAGAAATCACAGGATCGTTCGCAAAAGTCAATGGAACAGGATTCATTCTCGATGATAAGCCTTACTATGTAATTGGAGCGAATTATTGGCAAGCGATGAATCTTGGTATGGTAAAAGGTAATAGGTCGAGGGTTATACAGGACCTGAAAACTCTTAAAGAGAATGGAATTAACTGTGTAAGAATTATGGCTGGCAGTGAGGGTCCACCAGGTGAACCTCAGAGAATGTATCCAGCATTAATGAATTCTCCAGGAGAATACGATGAAAGTGTTTTTGAAGGTAGGATTTATCGTTAATTTTGCCATCAATATTAATTTCAAATTTTTAATCATCATTTCTTTGAGTAGGACTTGATTGGTTTCTTGATCAATTGAGACATGCTAAAATGACAGCGATAATGGTGAGAATTATCTCAGTCGGTTTCCTGACCTCACCTTGATCTAATCAAACTTGGTTGTAGACCCTGTCAAATTACTGGCAATGGTCAGGGGGTTTTGCCCAATATGTCTATTGGGCTGATAATTCCTCGCAAATTCCATATCCAGAATGGGGGAAAGATTTCACACCGTTCATAAAGTATGCTGAAAGATTTTATTCTGATCCGAAGGTTTTGGATACGTGCCAAAAATATTATTTAGATCATGTAAGGACAGTAGTAAATCGAAAAAACACTGTAAATGGTATCGTGTATAAAGATGATCCGGTAATATTTTCTTGGGAATTAGCAAATGAACCACAAGATGTTTCTGGAGAGAATGGACACGAGTATGTATACAAATGGATAGATTCAACAGCTGGATATATTAAATCATTGGACAAGAATCACTTAGTTACTTCTGGAGCCGAAGGAAAGCACGGAAAAGATTGGTTTATCACCATGCATCGCAGTAAACACATCGGTAAGGTGTTTCTTTTTACTTTTATATTTTTAATTGTGAGTTGCAAAATAATTTTCTTTGAATATAGACTTCACAAGTGCACATATTTGGGTAGAAAACTGGGGATATTATAAGTCTGATGATTCTAGTATAGAGAATTTCAAAAAAGCGGAAAATTTCATGTTGAATTTCTTGCAAAGTGTTAGCGATTGGTCGACAGATATTTTGCATAAACCTATTTTACTCGGAGAATATGGTAGGTAATAAATCATAAATGCAAGTTAAAACACACTATATTTAATTTATCTTGTTTCTCTTTCTTCATTTGAAAAAGGAATGGCTAGAGATGCATGGAGTGGAGTTTCCAAGTATTCACCAGATGCTACTACAACAAACAGGGATAAATATTTTACCGCTATAGCAAATAAGATATTAGAATTAGAAAAACAGAAAAAGTTCACTGGGCACATGTTTTGGGCATATTCTGGTATTGCTAGACCAAGTGACAATTATCCTCAATGGATTGGTGATCCACCTCACGAACGTAAGTGCATTTCTTAAATTATATCAAGATTGTTTTTGATACTAACTTTTTTTGCAATTTAGCTCCAGGTTGGTATTCTGTGTATGATGCTGATAAAAACACGTTAAAAATTTTTGCTGCACACTTTAAAGAAATATTGAAATTAATCAATTGAACAATATTATTGAATTATATTTTTTTTATTGGTTTATAATTTGTTGTAAATAAAATATGAAATAATTTTAATGTTGTAAAAGTAGACAATTTGAAATTAAATACAGTATAAGAATTATAACAAACAAATTTATAAATATTATTTTTTATACGTTATAATACAGTATATTGAAATATAATAAATTAACATCAAAATACTTATTAATTTAATAATTTTTTTATTTTTATTCTTTTTTTTATGTTAAGTGAGGCATTTCTCGTGAATTTATTAATTTAAAATATAAAAAAATTAAATAATATAGTATATTAAAAAATTTTAAAAAATAATTAGGAAATTTTTTTTATAACAGGTGGCTTATATCTTGTTTATTGAATATTGTAATAAGCATATACAAATTCAAGATTTTATCTATTCTTTAAACTTGTTAAATATTACACTTATTATATGGTTTATTGCCAAATACAGATATACATTTGATTAATATGTCAAGGCTTTGATTGTTTCAATTAAAACTTTGTTTATATCTTCATTTTTGACTTTTATTTTTTAAAAAATATAAGAGATAAATAGAAAGAAAAACTTGAAAATAATATTTATTTTTGAAAATAAAACTTTATTTGAAAATTATTTTACTAGTCTATATCATATATGTGATGAAATTGAATTCAAAAATTATTAAAAACCATATTATATTAAAATAACTAAGTAAAATATAGTAAATAATTGAAAATCATATTTAATTTAGAATTGTATTATCAATTGAATTTTTTTTTATAATAATAAAAAAACATGTATAGTTTGTATTACCTGTAGCTAAATTAATTATTTAATTTTTGCTATTTTATTATAACTTATGATATTTAAAATACTTATAATTTAATTTATTGCCTATATAATTTAATATTTCATTATTATTTAAATTTTACTACAAAAAGGACCTGTGAGTTTATAGCACAATGGTTAGTGCTTTGCAGGTTAAATCACAAGATAATGGTTCGAATCCTCCAGAAGACTAACATGGATCTTCAAACTAGAAGAAAAAAGATTACTATCATAAGATACCAAGTTCAGTTCCAGGTGAAGATAACTGGATTGTCTCAAAATGATATCTGAAACCATAACCTAACATGCACTGTTTCCTATAAGAAGCCAATTCACATATTGATTTAATGAATGTTAGAATTGTGATATAAAGAAAGGCGTAGCAGTGTAACAATCGTCTGGCAGTGTTATAATAATCATTGTCAAGTTTGATGCTTTCCCCGATACTCATGCATGGAGCATATTTCCTTACCCCTATAGTCTACAAGACTATAAAAGAAAACCTGCTTTTTAAGAGATCTAGTTACAGCCACAAAGACTCCTTGTTGGATATGGCTAGTTCGTGACTAACTATTCTAAAATATAATTCTTTGAGTTTCTATTCATCAGATAGTAAGTGGAACTGGAAGGCACACATCCTGGTACATTAGTATTCTATCTATGCTATCAGGGCCCCGGTATTGATAATATAGAAAGAATAGAGGACAATAAGCTGACCGGTAGTTAGGAATAATCTTAGCTTAGATAGCTTTATCATATAGACATAGTGGGAAATTTGTATAAAACGAATTTGTACATGCTAATCCTATAATACTTAATAAAGCAAGATGTATGCCAATCGTTGTAAAAAAAAAAAAATTTTTATTACAAAAAGTTTTTTTAAAATAAATAATAATAATAATAAATTTTTATTAAATTAAAATAAAACTTTTATAATATATCTTATATTTATTTAAATAATAAACATATCTATAATATGCTTTTAATTGGTATGCTATAGTGGATTAGGAAAAAAAACTCTTTTCTATATATAAATTTTTTCTATAAAATTTTCTTTTATAATAAAAATTAAAAAAACAAATATTTTTTTTTATTTTTCAATACCCAAAAGTCCTTTATACCTTCTTTTTTTTTATTACAAGAGTTTCAAAAAAATTAAAGAAGTACATTAGTACATTGGAATAAGACCTCTGACCAGAAAAATGCAAGTTTAAAGATCTTGTTTTTTTTTTGGATTGCATTGTTATATATCATTTTTATCTCAGAAGAAAAATAAAGACAAAGAACTAGTAGCAGGAAGGTACTTTAGATAAACAAGGCCAATGTAGTATACTAAAGTTCCTAAAAGTGTACAAATTAGTACAGTTCTGAGATATATGAGATCAGGCAAAAAAGGCAATAATGATTTGTTTTGTAAATATTAAGATATTTATTTAATAAAATATAAGTTCAAGTCTACCAATTTCTAGGCAAAATTGAAGCCTTTATATACATATTTAAGTTATAATATTTTTGTATATAATAAATATATGCTATAAGAAATAATAGAGATATTATATTTGTCAAAACAGTTATCTATATATGTTAGCATAAAAACAAATGCTCTGGTGAAAATACAAGAATAATAACAAGAATAGTAATACAAGAATTATTCTAGAATAAATAATATTTCAAAGGTAAATGCTAGTGAAAATTGGATAAGAGATAGTGATGATCTTAAATGAAAATCAAGTGTAACAGTATGAGAAAAGACTTATGACGATTACTTCTTTATAAATCTTCCTTGGGGTTTTTTCTTTTTTTTTCTTTTTTTTTAATATATAAACCTTTTTAAATAATTATATTTTCTGCTTGAAAGACTTTTTTTAATCAAAAAAATCAAACTTTATATTAAAATTGTTTATATTATTGACTTAGAGTATTAGCAATATATTTAATACTTATTCTTTATTATTACTTAGTATATTTTGCTATGTTATCAAAAGCTAAAAATTTTCACTCAAAAAATCTCTTATCAAAAAACTATAATCAGTTTATTCCTATCAACTAATTAATATTTCAAATCTAATCAATTAAATACTATTAAATTTTAAAGCAATTTTATATAATCAAAACACCATATAATAATTGATATAAACAATTCCTATTTTAGTAATATCAATCAGAACAAGATTATATTACAAAAAAATAAATCAATCAACATATATTTTTTTTTAATGCTAAGGTGAAACAATGCTCTAGTTTATTAACATAGCCAGTTTTTTATTACATATGTGATATATTTAAATTTTCTATACTATATTAATCTTATATTAACTAGAATTTATTCACAAGTCTAAACTATCCAGATATAGTTTGTCATATACATTTTGCTGAAATTCGTAGATCCTTGATGCAATTATTTGATGCAATTAATTGAGTCACTATTAAAACATATAAATAATTGAGTCATGATACAATTATTTTTGAGGATTTTGGAAATTGAGTCAACAGCAAAATAATTTACACCACATGTATAGTCTGTCACCCTGCTTGCTTACTTAAGCATTAACTTTTTCATTTCTTTGTTTGACATTAATTTCATTTCTATTCATAATTACCATCTTCTTTTAGTTACCCAAAAATGGCCAAGATCTTTCTGCTTTTGTAACTGCCTTTTCAGAATAAGTAACTAGCAAGCTGATGTATTATTGGATTGGAAGAACTTTTCATAGAAGAGACATCTTAATACCTATAGAGAAATGATTACCAATTCTTTTTATTCTTATTGAAACTAGTATCTATGTATTTTTTGCTGCTTTTGGTGATTGTTATATCACCAACCGAATGATCATCCTAATATCTTATAATTTGATCTGTGAAGCACTAACCACTGTGCTATAAACCTACAGGTCAAATCAATCAATATATTAATAATAATATTAACAATTATAACAATAACATATAATTTAAGTAATGTGTTAACAACACTATTATTTACTTTGAACAATAGTTTATCTATTCTTGGAAATAGTATTCTACTTTAGTTGAATGAATCAATTAATATAACATGTCTAATTCAAGACATTCTTTGTATAATAATTAATCTTTTTTCACTTTTCTTTCTATTATTATCAAATATCTAAATATAAACAACTATATCTTCATTACTATCAACAACAATCAAAACAAAACTACACTATTAACAAACAAACTGATTATTAATTATTATTATTATTATTATTATTATTATTATTTTTTTTTTAAAGTGCACTAGCGATAATTGTCTGGCTGAGTATTTATTCAATAACGATGTTTACATATATCTTTCGACATTACTATCTAGGACTATACTATAACATATCGGTTGTTAACTATACTCAACACTTATCAGGATTGCTCCAAATAACGATGTTTGCTATAGCTTGTTCCTAACTATATTAGGTATAGAGACTAATCTACTGAACAAAAGTACTCCTTTGTTGAACCAGTAGCATACGTTTTTACTAGTAGTCGGATAGCTTTATTTCTAACTGAGGAGGAATTAAGGGGAAGTTGAAAGGGGACACTAGGGGTAATATCTATAGCGAATAAAGCTACATGATCACTGCTTGCTCTATCAGGGATAAATCCCTTTACTATCACCTGTAGCTGGGCTAACCATTTAATTTCTTACCTGTCCAATGATACCTAAGAACATTCAAGGTACTTATAACTGGTGCTTATCGCCTGAACACTGACTTACACATTGCAGGGAACAGGACTTATAGCCAGAAGCCTTCTCGGGATAAGTACTACCAGACCGGTTTATTATTGGATTGGGATGAGACTAGGGCAGAGATCTGTGTGAAAGACACCGGATATTAGGGAAGGATCACCAAACCTGCTCGTCGAAAGCAGACACCTCATACATCTTGCAACTTATAGTGATCATCGTAACACCAACCGGACGATCATTGTGCCACGACACCTTTTCTGGGATCATAATCCCAATGTCCTACTAGATCAACATATGAATGACTTCTTATGGGAAACAGGGCTTAACAGGTTATGACCCCAGATATTATTTTTAATTCGGTTCAACCACCTTCACCTGGAGTTGAACTGGTATCTTGTGATCTGACCTGTGAAGTGTTAACTACTACACTATGGATTTATAGGTTAACTGATTATTAATTATATTACAATAAAAACAATAT